AGAGATGATGTCGGAGGTCATCCTGCTCAAAGACTTCCAGTTGTTTGTGAGGAAATGGGTACATTATTGTGTGACACAGACAAAAGACAAGATGATTTTAATAGCAATTAAAACCTCCTCCCAGGATAAACTTCCTTCTTTCACAGCAAAAAAAAAAGTCTATCTATCTTCAGAACAGAAGAACATGGAAAGGGCTGGAGAACAAGGGAGGCAAAGGAAAGGAAACTGATAAAGCACACAAAGGATTGGGTTGCACAGCTTATTTTGTACACATCTGGCAGATGAGAGAGCAGGCCATTTTAACCTAAGGGTACATACTGAAGTTAAACATCAAACTAACAAACTACTTTTCAGAGTTATCACTGCAGAATAAATACCTGATATCTAGTAAGTCAGAGACTCAAGACTTATGTGTGTGGTTGACCTTTCAGACTTTCTCCAACATCTGGGCAAGATGCTAAGAATATTAATGCATCTCCTGGGAATTTAAGGATCATGATTCTCCTGATTTGAGTGCTGAGGTCAGCAATGGTTTCTGAAAGCCACCACCTCATCCAATGTGAAAGATGATGTGTGGTTACCTGGTTTTAGAACACAGTTCTTTGCTATAAATCACTGTGGGTGGTCTTATTTTAAATAGCATTTAAACATTGAAAAAAAGTATTTAAAAAAATGTGTGATTCAGAAGATTAGAATTTCTGAAAAACAATTTACTTTTTAGTTTCATGACAAGAATTCCCATGAGAAAAATAAAATATAGGTAGCTTAGCTTAGCGTTACAGGAAGTATCTACATTTAGATAAGTACATGAAATAAATTTTGTTTGCTCATCATAATGGTAGTGTAAAGTGATGGGTGTGTGGGCTTTCCGATGCTGCAAATGGAGACACAAGGAGCCCGAAACCACAAACAGCAACAGACCAAAAGAAATGCGACAACCCTTTGTTTGAAGAGCAAAACAAAACCAGTATTTTATAAGCAAAAGCATATCATACATGATGCACGAAGCATAGTTTAGATCACTACATCTCATTGTTTTTCTGAGATTTAAGTTTAACTAGCAGTAATTTTTTTCAGGCAAACCTATAGAAAATTGAAGAAATAGTTACAGGTCAAGCTAACAATGTGGCGTGACTGACTTCACGACTCAGCCATGTTTGGGTTTCCTTCCTTGTTTTTACGTTGTTTCTTCATCAAGAGACTGTAACCTAAATTACTCTCCTTAGTGTCCTAGATCAAGTGAATGCTGTGAAGGAAGCACGCTACTGTGGGACTGTCTGCTCTTTTGTATTGCCTTTTCTTTTTTTTAAATGTGTGTATATGTGTGTGTGTGTGTGTGTGTGTGTGTGTGTGTGTGTGTACTTTGACTGCATACCTGGAACCCATGGAGGTCAGAAGAGGCATCACATGTGGCTTTTGGGAATTGAAACCAGGTCCACTGCAAAAGCAGCCTATGCTCTTAACCACTGAGCCATCACTCTGGTACCATAACATTTTGAAGTTTGAAGTACTTTTAATTGTGGTTTGTCTCAGTGGCCCATGATAACAATTATGAATCATATTAGTAGTACTTAGAATTTGTTTACTTTATATTTGTGGAGCAGGACTCACAAAACTCCATGTCTGGTGTTCCAACAGGAAGATTAACTTCATGTAGGATGATCTAGTAAAGACATTGTGTGGCTGTAAAGATGGTTCGGTGGGTAAAGCATTTATTGTATAAGCAGGAGTTTCTGCATTTGGATCCCAAGGCCCGTGTCTGTAGCCATGAAATGAGGAGGTAGCCGAGGGCAGAAACAGGTTAACTGAGAGGCTCTGCTACCCAATTATTCTAATGGGTAAACTGAATGTTCCATGACAGAATCATCCCAAAAAAACAAAGTGGTGACTGAGGAGGCCATCCAATGATGACTTCAGGCTTCTAGACAAGTATGCACAGGGAAACATATTTGCACACATGTGCATACACTACACATACACATACCATGAAGTAGTAACATCTCTGCTTCTATTCATTAGTAAATGCAACTTAAAGGCAGAGATAAACCTCTCTTTGTTAGTTTGATAATAGAAGTATAGTCTATTGAGACATTTATAACAAGTTAATTCATATTGATGACTTTATCTTACCTTTTTGGTAAGAAATTTGGTGCTATTACATTGTTACCCTCATAAAGACCAACCCTGTAGTGAAATCACTAGAAAGGAATTACATATATAGCATATAGAAGAGGTACTCCATGTTGACCATTTTAAAAAATTTTCCAATAGGTCCCTGAATTCACCAGGGCAGTCTTTTACTGTTTATCTACCAAATGCTACGTAAAAACCAGGTTTTATGTTTGAGCTCAGGCTGTATTTCATAGCTAGTATTCCGAGAGGATCACCAGAATTTGTCTAAATTTAAAAAATGTAAATGTCTTTTCGAAGGAATTGTGAACAAATGTCAACACATTAGAAAGTGTCTGATTAGTATGAAAAATAAGAACATGTTCCTTTTATTAACAAGTACCTATCAGATGCATTTGTCTCTCTCTGCACCATTCCTGTCTCTCTGGCCTTGGTCCTTTGCTTTCTCAATAACATTCTAATTTTCAATCATTCAATCCTTTCATCCTTTCCCTCAACTGTTTGTGAGAATTTAAATGAGGTAAATATTTCTATAAGATTTAAAACATACATGGTGTTATTAGTTAAAGATAATTTATTTGTGGGTTACTGGAGGGGATGTTAGGTATTTGATTCCCATATTTTTCAAATTATATTTTTTTTAAATTTTTTTATTGGATGTTTTATTTACATTTCATATGTTGTCCCCTTACCCCATCCCCCACCCACCCAGGAACCACCTAACCCCTCACCCCTCCTCCTTCTTCTCTGTGGATGTAACCTCTATCTACCCCCCCACTCCCACTTCCCCACCCTCAAAATTCCCACCCCCTGGGGCATCCAGCCTTCATGAGGTCAAGGTTCTCTTCTTCCACCTATGCCCAGCAGGGCCCTCCACTCTTACATATTCC